ATAGCAGAAAATAAAATGGCGATTGTATCTTTCCAGCTTCAAGCTGAGCACAAAAAAAAAAAAATTATATATATATCGTCATATAGGTTTTCTTTTTCAATATTTGAGCTCAGTGAAAGAGATGGCGACGGGCCTCGCTCCACTGTGCAAAATGAGACTGAATCCTCCGCTAGAACATGGAAAGATACATTTCCATTTTTTTTAACTTTCATGCATGTGGAGAGTAATGGAGCGAGACCCGATGTCTCATCGCCGCTAGGGGAAAGTCGTACGACGAAAGTTCCACGTATTTACCAATCAGACGGGGCACACGAAGCCGCCACAGACTGCACCCCTGTTATCCCAGTCGTACGAGGAACCTTCCACGTATTTACCAATCAGACGGGTCGATGGAAGTCACTACGCGAGCGTGCTGGGCACATCCAACTACTCCTGGCCAGCCGCTCTCTCTCTCTCTCTCTCTCTCTCTCTCTCTCTCTCTCTCTCACACACACACACACACACACACACTGCCACTAGAAATGGACAAGTCCCGATATCTAGGGTTGAGAAAAGATCACGATATGATCACCGGCTCGGAGAAGAGTGGTTGTGGCCGTAATCACGCGCCCAAACCCAACGGGCCTGCCTCAGCTCGTAAGGCGCATAGGAGGGCTTCAAGAGGGCATGAGTTCGATTCATGTCGGTTCTGGAGCCTGCATCAGTGCGTAAGGCGCATGAGAGAGATCCAACACGTCATGAGTTCAATTCATGTCCTGGGCCTGATCGGTGCCCGACCATCTAGAAACAACGCATTAAAAAAGGGGTAACTACCGGCAGGGCGCAGTCACGTTTTTTCAGTCTAAGGGCGCAGTCACGTTTTTTCAGTCTAAGGGCGGCCTCGTTCCGCACCACTTCACTTCACTTGAAACTCGAGGGCGCACTACTTGAAACTCGAGTGCGCACTCCAGTTGCAAAAGTGATTAAAAAATACCTGACTAACGTTTTTCGTTCCAATCAACCCTTGTGTCCGCCCTTGAAATGAGGGGGAACAGCTAGCCAGAGGTTCAACCAGGACAATGGCGTTAGAAAATGGAGAATAAACGGGGAAAAAAAAACACGGGGAATTCTACACGTACCTGAAACCGCCTCGTGCCGCTTGCTTGCACACTTCTGAAGGACAGCTCAAGTGTGGCCCGAGAGGTCACTTGAAACATCACCTCGTTTGCCTGGGCCGTACTTGAGCCGCCCTTGAGAGTTTCCCGCCCGTTGATAATCCCGAAAACCTAATGATGACCCGCACGTGATTAGCGAAACTCAAGGGCACTGTGGAACCGTGTTGGGCAAGAAAACCTTGAGTTTCGAGTGGTGTGGAACGAGCCCCTTAAATACAGTTCAGGCATCATCCCCACCCAACTCTAAGGTTGGGTTGTATACATTGACGATTTTCCTTGCTTTGGATCAACATTAGCCAAATCATGACTGAAACGCATCACACAAAACAACCAGTACCTCTCCCAGCTATCAAGCCCAAAGCTGGGCCGAACCGTATGCCGACCGGTATGCTGTAGCCAAGCCTCCAACTACTGGGGCAAGGTCCCACTAGCAAAGAGGATTGGATTGAACACCTGAATCTGGACTTGTTTGTGGAAAGGTGCAGAATGTCAAGATTGAACTGCTTTTCCGCATCTCTGTTTAAAACACTTCCAGATTCAGGATATTTATCCAACCCTCTTTGCTAGGGGGACCTCACCCCTGGGCGTTGAACAGGCTACCAAAAAAAAAGCAAAAAAAAAAACAGAGGAAAAAAAAAAACATCGACATAAACAATGGAGAGAGAGAGAAAGGGAGAAAAATGTACCTTCCCGCTTCGTCGGGAAAGATTCATTCTCATTTCGCGATTATCAAAGCACGGGCGAGAGCGAGAGCGAGAGAGAGAGAGAGAGAGAGAGAGAGAGAGAGAGAGAGAGAGAGAGAGAGAGAGAGAGAGAGAGCCGGCGAGTTCGCCGTGGCAGTCCAATTGCGGACCTTCTTCCGAGTCTTCGTCCTCGACGGCCATCTATGCCAAACAGATAGTCCCTTCGAGCAATGCGGTGACGTTGCAGTCAACCTGACGTGACACGTGGATGTTGTCGAGTCGTTCAAGTTTTGGCTTGGTCAAGACTGCAGGAAACGGTGAGTGCATGGGTGCAATACCCTCTCTCTCTCTTCGTCCTCTCTCTCTCTCTCTCTCTCTCTCTCTC